ACCTTAGACTCAAGATGCTCCTCCTGCCTCAGCCTCCTAAGTGCTAGGATAACAGGTGTGTGCCACCAAGCCTGGCTCAAAATTATAATTAATCCACAGGCTTTCTCCTGCAAATAACATTCTCTAATTTACTTGTTACTTAGATGATAGATATCTAATTCTTTCCTTTTAAATTTAAATTTTCAAAAGAGATACTTTATCCTAGACATTTGCCATGGAGTCCAATGAGGGCTTTGATATACATAATATATATGTGTATAAAATTTCTTTCATATCAATATGAATTGAGTATACTAAGTATGGTTTTAACCAACTGCAGATATTTTTCTTTTGCTTAAATTGCTCTACTTTTGGCCCACCTATTGGCTTCTGTATCCTTTTGACAGGATCCATTAGTCTTCAATCATTAATGAGACCCTGTCTCAAAGAAAAAAAAAGGATGGGAGAGGAAGTTATATTGGTGTTTTCAATTAAAATTAAACTATACAGGACTTAATTTCTTTGATTTTTTTGCTTGTGCAGTGGACCCTTGAGTTATGATCGGACTGACATACAAACAACTTGGATCACAACTAGAATTTTAGTTTTAACTTATGACCAGTCTTGAGTTACCACTAGAATACTAGCTGCTTGTACTTCCAGATGGTCTCAGATACAAATTTAACCCGTAAGAGTTCTGGAAGGAACATTACAACATCCTTTCCTGTGTGGGGTTAACTGAGAAATCTTAGACCAATGTTTCTCTAATGAGACTGAGTGTGACCTAAAATTATACAGGAGAGAGACCTTTGAAGGCTAACCTACTTGAGAGGAGCCTAACCAACTTGAGTTACAACCAGCCCTGGAGAACGAATTGAGTTCGTAAGTCAAGGGTCCATCGTATTTCTTTACTTACAAATTATAATCTTCATTATTAGCCACCATAACAGAATAACTTATTTGCATTATCCAACATAAAGGATATTAAAAGTTTCAAAGTAAGGCATTAATTAACTAAATGAAATCTAAGATTTTCTTGTAGCTCTACTTTTCTTTACCTCTAGAATCTGTGTCAGACTTCTCTAGAGATGAGTTGGGCATGGTAGTGCATGCCAGTAGCCCCTGGAGGCTATGGCAGGAGGATGAGCACAGGAGTTAACACAGCTTGTTTAACACAGTAAGGCCCTGCTTCTACCAAAAAATAATAATAATAAACTAATTTTCTCAAGAGAAATAGAACCAATAGGATGTGTGTGTGTGTGTGTGTGCACGCGTGTGCACGCACACACACACATATGCAGGCAGAGACAGATTATTTACTCATGAAAGTTAGTGAGCCCAAGTCCCAAACTGCAGGGGGCCTAGAGACCCAGGAAAGGGCCAGTGCTGTATGTAGGTCAAGGCCGCAAGCCATCTGTGAGCTGAATTCCTTCTTGCCAGGGAGCTCAGTCTTTGTTCTGTTAAGGCCTTCAACCGATTGGATGAGGCCACCCACATTATAGAGAACAATCTGCTTTATTTAAAGTCCACCAGCTTAATGTTTATCTCATTAAAAAAAAAAAACACATCCTCATAGAAACATCCTGAATAATGCTGACCTAATATCTGGTTCTCAGGGCCAGCCAAGCTGACAAATAAAATTAACCATTACAAATATACTATGATGTGGGTTGAATTGTGTCTTCCACAAGATATGCTCAAGTCCTAAAACCTGGTACCTGAGATTGTGATATGACTTGGAACAGGATCCCTGCAGATGTAACTAGTGAAGGCAAGAAGCCAGGACTGGTAGCACATACCTATAATCTTGGCACTTGGAGGCTGAGGTGGGAAGATTGAGGCCAGCCTAGGCTAGTAGAGTTCAAGGCCAAACTGAACTACAAAGTGAGTCCTTGTCTCAAAAGCAAAAACAAAACAAAATACAAGACAAGATCATACAGGAGGAGGGTGGGCTCTTAACTTCCTAGCATCACTATAACACAAGACCAGACGGCAAGGAAAAGATACACAGAAGGAAGAGGATGTGAAGATTCACAGAGATACTACACAACGTTGTTGGTAAGGACCAGAGCTGTGGTGCCCTAAGCCAAGCACTGTGTGACACCAGCAGCAGGAAAAGGATGGGACAGGTTCTCTGAGCCAACACCTACGTTGTGGATAATACACACTATCAGTTAAATTTTTCCATATTTCTTTGATTAAACTGCATATTGAAGCCACAGTGTCCTTACATCCTCCACTGCTGATTGAGGAAACAGGAATTTCTTTGCCCAAAATAGTGAATAAAATACAAATAAAAACAGAAACAGGTTGACAAATCCTTTTAATAAAGCATATCAATAACAACTTTGTTTCTAAATAAATACATTGCTAAAAAAACACACAAGAGCATCTTTTTGTAATTACTAAGAAAAATTTAAGACTACTGTTCCCTCCGCAGAAATGCTATGCACAGATGCAAAATGATCAAAGGCTGACAGAATAATGACTCTCAAGTAAGTAGCATGGCCATCATGTGCCTGTAGGAGAAAAAAATCAATATGGATGCTTTTAGCAATCCTAGTCAGCTGTTAACAAGCAGTTAGCAGAAGAAAGGATTTGATGAAAGAGTAACAGTCTAACTGTACAATATGTAAGATATTATATTCAGATAACAGCCCACCGCCCTCAAGGAGCCAACATGGAGGATAATCAAGATACATTCTCTGAAGGCCAGAATTGTAAAAAGAAACTACTATACTCTTGTGCTTTCCCTGGGGATATAGAGCAGTGACTGATAGTCTAAATAGGTTTCAATCACCTGGGTGGGGGTCAAGGTCTTAGCCCAGCTTTTCCAGGAAGTATACTCTAACCCCTATCCTTACTGAAAATCCTTACATGCTTGCTACATGACTTGCTCCCCCATTTGACCCCCATTTAATCCATGCTACCTGGGTGACTGTACTTGTAATCTTATTGGTCACGATTTTGCCCCACCTCATGCCCATCTTGTAATTTTCCATTGGGTCTTATAGTTTTGTCCCACTTTGTACCCACTTCACCACATGGCTTCGCTGTATAAAACACCTTTGAAAAGTGGGATGAGTGAGCAACCCACTTTCCCGTCCCCCTTCTGTCTCTCTTAAGCAGAAGTTTTCTTTTCCTCAAAACAGTTGTTCTGGTGCCTATCAGCAGGATATCAGTCTTAGTTTTATGAAAAACAGTAGGAGGGCTACCACTGCAATTGTACAATCTAATCAATTTTTTAAAAGTGTCTTTCTAAAATCTTTTTCCTGATAATAAGTTTCCCTTGGTTAATGATGCCTCAGAATGTACTTCCCTGAAACACAGTATACTTTCACATTTCTATAATTTCTCTGGAAAGCAATATGGCAATGTATGTAAAAAGCTATAAAAATGTTTATATTCTTGCACCCAGTAACTCCATTGCATAAAATTTAATCTTAGAAAATAATAAAAAAGGTGAAGGTCATGATATTAAGAACATGCATAAAATGTCTCCTGTGTATTACTCATAATGACAGAGGGAGAGAAAAGGAAGTTAGCAAACAGACAAATGTTATCCTACAACTATGAAGCTTGTGATATAATATTAAGTTAGAAAAAGATGATAGTTGGGCTGGGTGTGCAGGTACACATCTATAATCTCAGCACTTAGGAGGCTGAGGCAGGAGGATCACTGTGAATTTGAGGCCAGCCTAGGCTATACAATGAGTTCATTACTAGCCTGCACTACAAAGCAAGACCCAGTCTCAAAAGCCAAAAAACAACAACAACAACACACCCCCAAAAGATACAAAATTGTCCATACAAAATTACTGTAACTATGCAATTTGTGTGTTGACTAGAAGAAAGCAGTGCCATAAATATGCCGTGACAGGGCTGGGGATTTTAGCTCAGTGGTGCTGCCACCTGCCTTGCAAGCACAAGGGCCCGAGTTCCATCCCTGGTACCAAAAAAAAAGAAAGAAAGAAAGAAAAATATGCTGTGACAGAGCAATGAAATTAAGGGTGACTTCCAGGTTCCTCCCCCTTACGGCTTTCCAGATTGTATAGAACTCTCTGCAACCTAAGTGAGTCCTGAGAGAAAAAAACTGAAGAAAGCAGAACTCACGAATCACAGCCCACATGGTGAAGTTGGAAAAAAATACGGCAGAATTCAGCGTAATCATTTTTTCTGGATCCTGCTGGTTTCTCCAAACATTGGGCAAATTTTGGTGGGAGAAACGGAAATTAGAAGATTAAAAAACTTTCCTACAGTAGGTGTGAGTTCAGGGAGGGTCAGCCTGGGCTCCACAGTGAACTCAAGGCAGTGAGACCCTCTCTCAAAAAACCAAAAAACTTTCCTACAGCATCACAGCAGCTCTTAGCAAGATATGAAGTAAACAGTGAAAAAAGCATCACTTTAACCCTCATTTAAGGAACCTTATTTAAGTAAACACAACCACCTAAAAAATATGCATTCAGTTATTTATGTTTTTGCTTGTGTAAATCGAGGGAGCAGAGGAGCTCATGACCAAGCAGCAGTTCCCATCAGCAGTTCAGTTCGTTCCTCTAGCCGAGCAAAGTTGGTGGGATGCTGTTGGAATAGGACATGCGGACTCTCTCCACTTCAGCCCTCACTGGCTCATTTGTTGCTGATTCTATTCCCCAATTCCCCTCATCCGAATCTCCCTGTCTTTTCACACTTAAATTAACATCCAATTTTGACATTTCGACCTTTTTTTATTCCTAACCTAAATGAAAGAATGCAAAGCTAACACTTTCTAATAAATTAGCAAAGTGAAACAAGAAGTAAACATATTGTTTTCTCCTGTCTCCTTTCTATGATGAGCAAGAACCTAATTCACAATGGTCAGCTTCTAACACTTGAGAATCACCTCTCTATTGGTTTATTAGATTTAGAACCTATGACACCATAAGGATGGGTATTAATTCTGGGACTACAGAGATGTATTTAAAATCTAAATACATTGTGCTTGCTAAGGATAATTTTCATCTCTACAAAGTACATTTACTTACCATAATTTCCTCATTTTGAAGTTGTCCCTCGGTGTGTACTAAATCTACAAAACAAATTTAACAGACTTGAGTTAATGCTCAGAATATCTGAGGACAGCTACTGAAATTTATATTCAGCAAATACAATTATCTGGTAAACTATAAATTAAAAGCATATTTTTAAAAATTACCAGCATTTGGGGGTTGAAATCTGATATACAAATAGAGACATCTGATATAAAAAGTAAAAAATAAAACTATGACATATAAAATATATCTAGTGAGTATAAGCAAAAGACTGTGCAAATTTAAATTATAGTAAAGGAATATACATTGAGGAATATGTAAAATCACAGGAAAATCCACTGTATGGATCAAGCCACTAACAGTGACGACAAATAAGCCTGAAAGGAGCTGCTTTACCACCCTGCAGAGTAACAGCACAGCTTCGGGTCTCAGGCAATTGTCACTAAACTTGGAATTCAGTGGCCTGAGAAGGAATCTCAGTATCCAAGTTTTAAAAACCTTTACTTGTGTAATGGTATGACAGATTAATTCATTTGGTCAAGAACTAATAATATCAAACTTTCTTTTGGAAACCTGAACTACTTAATCATCTGATGACAGCTAATGACATTACTCAATATTAATCTTATTTGTATTAAAATAATTAATACACATTTTTAAAATTTTTTGGAGACAGAGTCTTGTTATGTAGTCCAGGCTGGCCTCAAATTTGCAGGAGTCCTCCTGCCTCAGCCTCCCTACTGCTGGGATTACAAGTGTGTACCACCACATCCGGCCCAGTATATATAATTTGAAAAGCCACAAAGAACTAAAAGGGAAGTCTCTGGAAAGTAAGATTGAAGGTTGACTTTCTGCTTCCTGAACCTTCTCTGAGATAATAAAAAATAGTAATCCCTGCCTCACCCTTTACTCTCCTCCAGGCATGGCCCCAGCAATAAGCATTTTAACTCTTCATACTGTTTTTCCTAGACTTTCAATAAGATTATATTCTTTTCCTTATTTATAGATTTGACTTTATATTATGCTAGGCAGAAATTTAGATTTTGTTGTGTTTGTTTTGCAGTAGTTGGGACTGAACCTCAGGGAGTTCATCTCAAACCCTTTTTAAAATTTTTATTTTGAGACGGGGTCTCACTAACTTATCTAGGTTGGCCTCAAACTTATCATTCTCTTGCCTTGGCCTCTGTGGTGCATTAACTAATGGTCAACTGGGAATGCCCGGCTGAACCAAGTCAGAGTGGTTCTGGGCTTGGGAGACCCACATGAGGACTGTTGTCAATAGCATAAAAAGAGAACTGGAGGGGAAGATCATTGGTTTTTTATTTTCTTGGAGAAGCTTGCAGAGGGTGGTTTTCCTGATGTGAACTTGGCTGTTCTCTCATCGGAGGAGGAGCTTGGGTCCTCCCTGTCGCTGCGAATGGCTGTTCTCATCAGAGGACTTCTGATCTTTGTCACAAGCATCACTTCCTGGTTCCAGTGCAGACCCCTCAGCCTGGTGACACAGATCCTGCATCCTGCTGGCGAAGGCTTTGTAGCTTCCACCACTGGCTTTGTGGCCTCCCCAGGGCAGATGCTTAATACAGATAAGCATGGGACATTGCTATGGGCTCTTGGCCACTGGCTGGACTCATGGAAGACACTGCTTTGGACTCTAGGCTTTCAGCTGGACTTGTGAAACATTGTTATGGGATCCAGGCCCTTGGTTGGATTGTGTCTCTAGTGTGTGGATAGATCTCATGTACTCCTCTGCATTTGACTTTTTGGGTGACTATTATAAAAGAACCCTAAAAATTATGTGACCTGTATTAAATTTATTTCTCTTGCAAACCCTGACTATAATAGCATCCTAAGTAGCTGTTGTTATAGGCACGCACCCCTGGAACTGGAAAAATTTAATTTTTTTTTTTTTTTGAGACAAGTTCTCACTATGTAGGTCAGACTGACCTGGAATTCACTATGTAGCCCAGGCTGGCCTTGAACTCATGGCACTCATCTTGCCTCAGCCTCCTGAGTGCCAGGATTACAGATGTGTGCCACCATGCCTGGCTAAAAATTTAGATTTCATAAATCAATACCCACTTCCTCCTCCTCCAACTTTTCCTTCCCCTCATCTTAACTTTGAAATCAATACTTGATATTAATTATTATGCCTATATAAATGTTTAGTAATGAAATAAATAAAATTATCTCATTTTCTTATATAATTTCTCCATCAGAAGTTAATAATAACCTCATTTTCATTAGCTGGGTTTTTTTTTTTTTTTTAGTTGTGAAAACTGGAAAATCTCAAATATACATGAAAACAGAACAGTAACTTTCACTTATAGTTGTCACATTTTATAATTATTAACATTTCAGCATGGTTAATTTAAATTTTTTGCTAAAATATTTTTTTTTTTATTGAGTTTATTGGTACATTTAGGGATACAGTACAGTTACATTCATTGTTGGGATCATGTACCTTTACATGGCAAGTCTTGATTCTCATTTTTTCCCCTTACCTCTGCCCTCCCTTCACCCCCTCCTCCCCTCCCCATCTACAAACACTTTATTTTCATCTTTTCATTCTCTCACATTTTTTTCTTTTCCCTTTTTGTTCTTCCCCTACGTATCACACCTTCCCTACACCTTTAAAGAATATTCTTTTTTTTTTCTTTTTCAGTACCGGGGATTGAACTCTGGTCCTTGCGCTTGCAAGGCAGGCCACCGAACCGCTGAGCTAAATCCCCGGCCCCTTTGCTAAAATATTTTAAGGTAAGTCTAAGATATGACATTTCATCTCTAAGTATTTTATCCTTCTTTAAATATAAGATTTTTTTCGGGGGGTATCAGGGATCCAACTCAAACTACGCTTGCAAGGCAGGTGGTGAAACCACTGAGCCAAATCCCCGGCCCAGGATTTTTTACTATAACTACAATATCATTATCATACTAATATAAAAAATAGGCCAGAGATGTAGCTCAGTGGCTCCGCACCTGCCTGGCAAGCTTAAGGTCCAGAGTTCAATCCCCGATACCAAAAATAAACTGAGCGTGGTAGCACATACCCATCATTCCAGCAATTGGGGAGGCTGAGCCAAGAGGACTGCAGTGAGTTCTAAGTCAGCCTGGGCTACATAGTAAGTTCAAGGCCAGCCTGAACTACATAATGAGACTTTGTCACAAAACAACACAAAATACTTTAAGACCTAGTCCTTATTTCCCCAATTATCCTCCAAATGTCTTTTTATTATTAGTTATTGGAACCAAGTACAGTAAGTCCCCAACTTATGAACATTCAAGTTGGGAACTTTCATAGGTATACTTTGTCAGCTTACAAATGAATCCTACTTATGAAAAATTCTTCCAGAACAGAACTCATTCATAAGTCATGGACTTCCGTATCTTTTTATCTTCTACTATTTTTTCTTCTACACACACATTTTTTTTTTTTTCAGGTCAGTTGTCCTGTAGAACATCATAACATTTCTAAGCTTTGGCATCTTGCTTCATTTAATTATATCCTCTGTCCTCTACTTCCTGCAGACTGGAAACCAAAGTAAAAGCCTTGATCACATTCAGGGTTTGAGGCCTTCACTGAGTGTGTGGTGACCTTGGCTGTATTGTTACTTATGAATAATAAATCACTTGAAATTGCAAGAGCCAGGGCTGCTTGCTGACTGGCAGACTTCAACACAGCGACCAGGAGCGAGCAGGCCTTTGCCAGCTTCCACAAACATTTTTTCTGGGGCCACTCAGTTTCCTAAAGATGAATCCTTCATGTCCTAGTGGGGCTCATCCTCTTAGTCTCTGTAATTAGTAGCAAAGCACAGGTAGAGGGCTGGAGTTCCTGCTGCTGGATATGCAGGCTTCCACTTTAGTGCTCTGAATCAGACCCACGTTTCACTCGACTTTGCCTGCTCTCCTGAGTCCTGAGCCTCCATACTGTACTCACATACCCTGTCATCTCCAGCAGCCATGGCAGTCTCTTGGGAAGAAGTGGTCACCTAGCTTCACGGGGTAGGAGAAGGCACCTAGAGTCTAGCCATTCTGTAGGTACTCAACTGATCACCCTTCTTTTCCAGCCCATGTCTCACACTCTGCACAAGTTCTAGAGCTTTCCTTCAAGTTCAAGACCTTCATGGGGTTCTAGGTAAACTGGCTTGCTGACACTTTCCATGGCAGACTCAGGTTACAACCTAGTCCATTCAGCTTTAGAAGTTGTTGCTTTCCCTCTGTCATAATATATCTTAATCTCACCAGACTTGGTGGTGCAGTAATCCTGGCACCCTGGGAGGCTGAGGCAGGTAGATACAAAGTTCAAGCTAAGCCTGGCCAACTTGGTGACTTTAGGGAGACTTTGGTTCTTGTTTAATTTTTTTGTCCTTGGAAGTTTAGCCTTTGATTACTTTACTACAGCTTTCCTGGCACAGTATTTTGTGAAGGAAAGGTGATGGACATATTGGAGGCAGTACAGTTGTGCTTAACTGGATGCTACCAATTCCACTGATGAGAAACTAATATTTATTGTTTATCATATACCAGCCACTAGCTCAGAAAAGCATCAATGATAGGTATCATCTCTACTTTTCTGATCAGGATATTCTGAAATTCTAAAAAAATAAGTAATATATTAATCCTTATATAACCTGTACCATGGTCTTTACTCAAAACTGGGTTTTCCTGGACTCTAACTGGGTCACAACAATCACTTTTTATTAATCAAGATGCAGGTGGATTGGAAATGTGGAGAAAGGGAGTAATTCTCTCTCTTCCCCCACTTCAGAATGATAATGGTGAATAAGCACATGCCTTTTTTGTTTGATTTTTGAGATAGGATCTTGCATTGTAGTTCAGGCTGGCCTCAGACTTGTGGCAATCCTCCTGCCTCAGCCTCCCCAGTGTTGGGATTACAGGCATGTGCCACCATTTCTGATTTAAGCACATACCTTTTTCAATCCACTGCTCGAATCCAACAGGCTCTTTAGATGTGCTCTTTTCCACCCTCAAGGTACGCACTGACATCATAAACAAACAAGGTAAATAGGACGTTAATCACCTCCTGGTGCTAAGTTGTGGGCCTTGCTATGTATCTTTTCTCCTCTGAATGAGACCGCCCTGAATTGGTGGAACTACAAAGAATATGGGGATCAGGAATGTCATGTTCTGGAAGTTACCTACTCTGCTTTTCCATAAATCCTGATGGGAAAATGTGGTCTTGTGTAACAGTGATCCTAACAGTGTTTGTAACCATATAACACAAATTTAGCAGAGCTTTTTAAAATCTGGTTATTATCTGGAATTTTTTATAAACTGCTAACAACAATGGCATTATTGATGGTCTCAGTTATAAGCCCTTATGAAGGAGCTGAGTCATGGGGTTTTATTCCTTCCTTCACTGTTGACTACAGTCATAGGAGGAAGGTTCTATGAACCCACTATAGTATGAGGACACGTGCTTGGAGAGCAAGTAAGGTGTTCAATGCGATAGTTAGTACACACCAGAACTGGAACTGGAACTCGAGATCTGTCTGGCCCTGGGACCTCTGCACTTAATGACAGAAATCAGGAGCTATAGCAGGCATGTAGTCATCTTCTTGATGCACTGGGTTTTCTCCTTGCTCCCCACCCAGATCCTGAAATTCCAAATCCAGTCCTCCCCTTTCCTTTTCTGTGGCCTGATAGACTTACGCACTGGCTTCCACTGCAGAGACTGGAGGGCAGTGGGGAAGTGAGATCAGGTTGTTTGTCTCCACCCCTCCCTGCTTCAGTGTCAGATCCTTGGCAGTCTCTTATGTCCCTTCAAGACTACAGAACAGGCTCCTCCTCTCAATGGGGCCACTGACTCCTTCCCTTGCCCCAGGACAGACCAGGCTTCTTGCTATAGCTAGTTTCTCAGGGTCTTGTCATCCCTTGTTTGTTCCCTCAGCCCAGGCCATAATTTTGTAAGTAGACCCATCAGTAAAATCTTTTCCTCTGTAACATCTGGGATGTATTTTATCGCCTGCCTTGATTTTTATCTACCACACTTTATCTCAAATAGACATAGATAGGATCAGAATGATGTTCCAAAGGGAGATTCCCCTCCCAAATCCCCAGAAAAGGTCATTAGCAACAGAAGAATCAAAACTTTTCAGTGTGAACAGTCATCAGATTTTCAGAAAGAATTTGACTGTGAACTCCAGGTCAAAAGAATTGAGAATAAGACATCTTGAAACTTAGTGTTCTTGCAAGGTAGTTTCTTATGTCAAAGACTTCAATGTAGTAAATTGCATGGAAATTATTACATGGTTTGAAAGGGTTTCAGACTTGCAGTTTCAGAGAGGCTAACTGCGCTGAAGGCAGTTAACTTGTAATCCTCACCCTCCCATTCCAGCAATAAAAACAGATTCCATGCTGTAAAGAAAAACTAGTAGTGCTTTGCCAAATGTTTACATCTGTGCTCTCTGCCAATCAAAAAATTAAACTAAGATAAAATTAACGCATCATTTGCTTACCTAAGTAACTCTGGATTATGATCTTTTCAATTTTTACATGTTTGTGAAAACAAATAATAAACTCTTGAGGAAACATTCCTGTGGTGGTCCAAAACGTTTCTGCATTCCTATTGTTAATTTTAAAGAAAAAGAAATAGTCGAATATGAAAATTTAATCACAAAATTCTAATGAATAAGTATTTAAAAAAGTGACTACTGGATTTTTACAATTCCTTTCTGTTAACTCTGTCTCTAATCTCTCCCCAGCTTTAATAATTCTTTGCTACTACCACATAGTATCTTCTGAAATTCAGGAACAGAATTTGTGTCAGTCCTGTCGACAAGCCTTTAGTGGTTCCCTGCCTTTTGGTGAGGAGGTTGAGACAAGGTCTTGCTATATAATTCAGGCTGGCCTTCAACTCAATATATAGCCCAGGCTGGCGTCGAACTCACAGTGATCCTGCCTAAGCTTCCTGAGTGCTGGGATTACAGGGGTGCACCACCACACATGGCTAGTGTTCCCTTTTTGTTTATATATCTAAACTCCATAGTATGGCATTTACAACTCTATATATCATTAAGTATATTTTCTCCCCTGGATAGGCAGAATCAGTATAGTCAAAATGGCCATACTTTCAAAATCAATATACAGATTTAATGTGATTCCAAACAAAGTAACAACAGCTTTTTCACAGAACTCAGGAAAACAATCCTAAAATTCATATGAAATCAGAAGAGACCCAAAATAGCAAAAGAAATCCTGGGTAAAAGAAGCAAGGCAGGAAGCATCATATTCTTGGACTACAAAGCTACTGAGATACAAACAGCATGGTACTGGCACAAATACAGAAAAGAGGATCAACAGAACATAATAGAGGAGGCAAAAACAATTCCAATCACATTTGACTTTTTTTTTGGTACTGGGGATCAAACTCAGGACCATGGGCAGGCACAGAGCCACTGAGCTAAATCCTGGCCCTCATCTGATCTTTGACAAAGGAGCTAAAAACACACCCTAGAGGAAAGAGAGAGCCTCTTTAATAAATGGTGCTGGGAAAACTGCCTATCCATGTGCAGAAGATTGAATCTAGACCACAATTCTCACTACGTACTAAACTAAAACCAAGATGGATCAAAGAACTAAATGTTAAAACAGAAACACTTAAGCTGCTATAAAATAAAATAGGTAAAGCTCTTGAAGTCAGAGGTGTAGGTCTGAAGAGAACCCCAGATGCATAAGAAATAGTAACAATCAACAAATGGGATCACATCAAATTAAAAAGCTGCTGACAGCAAAACAACCAGCCAGCACAGTGAAGAGACAACCTACAAAATGGAATAATAATTTTGCCAGCTATTCTTCAGACAGAGGACTGATATCCAGAATATATAATTAACTTTAAAAAATTAGGCTTCCTCAAAAAATAAAAGGCCCAATCAAAAATGGGTAAAATGAACAGATACTTCTCAGAAGAACAAGAAGAAATGGCCAATAAATACATGCAAAAAATGTTTAACATTGCTGGCCATTAGAGAAATACAAATTAAAACAACATGAGATTCCATCTTACTTCAGAAAGAACGGCCATCAAGAAATCAAATCATAACAAATGCTAAAATACACACACACACATACACACATAAATTGTACTAACTTAATTAATAAAAAAATGCTGGCAAGGCTGCAGGAAAAGGACACACTTCTACATTGTTGGTAGGAATGTAAAATAGTGCAACTACTATGGAGATCTGTATAGAGTCCTCAAAAAACTAAAAGTAGAAATTCCATTTGACCCAGTTATTATCCTTCCAGGCATTTCCTAAAAGAGTTAAAGACATCATATTACAGTGATACATGCACATGTTTACAGCAGCACAGCTCATAACAGCTAGATCTTTTTTTTATAGCAAAACTTTTATTGGTACATTTTAGGCATATATAATGATTAACACTCTTTGTAGGGAATCTGTACCTGCACATGACACATCCTGCCTGTTAGAAGCAGCCTATACATCTATTCAACAGATAAATGGAAGCTGGGCATGGTGGTGCAAGTCTGTAAACCCAGCACTCTGTAGGCTGAGGCAGGAGGAACACCATGAGTTCTAATCATGAACAAAGCATTATATTTTCACTCATTTAGTTCTTTATTGGGCTGAGGATTTAGCTCAGTGGTTCTGCCTCCTGCAGAACCACAAGCACAAGGACCCGTTTGACCCCCAGTACCCCCCAAAAAAACCCTTACAGTTCTTTATATTAAAATATAGTTCTGTCAGCAATAGTTTGTATTTTTCAGTGTAAAGATCTAACATGTTTTCTTAAATTTATTCTTAACTGTTTTATGTTTTTCTTTGGTAGGTCAGTTGAGACAGGGTCTTGCTATGTAGTCCTAGGCTGGCCTCAAGTTCACTGCATCCTGCCTCAGCCTCCTAAATGCTAGGATTACAGGTATATTCTATTATGCCCAGCCTATTTTATGTTCTGAATGCTACTGTAAATAGAATTTTTTTTTTTTTTTGGTACCAGGGATTGAACTCGGGTCCTTGCACTTGCAAGGCGGGCCACCGAACTGCTGAGCTAAATCCCTGGCCCTTGTAAAGAGAATTTTAATAATTTTATTAGTACATGTTTCTATAATAATGACTGCATTCATTGTGAGGAGGTGGTATATTCACATAACACATCTAAATTATTTTTCTTTTCTTCCCTTCTCCTGGAATTGGAATTTTTTAAAATTTCATTTTCTAACCTGAGTGTGGTAGCATACACTTATAATTCCAGCACTCAAGAGGCTGAGACAGGAGGATCTCTGTAAGTTCAAGGCCAGCTTGGGCTACATAGTAAGTTCAAGGCCAGCCTGAACTATGTAGTGAGCCCCATCTCAAAAAAAAAAAATCAAAAAAATTTTTAAATTTTCTGTTCCTTACTAATATATAGTAATAAAACTGATACTGATCTTGCTAAATTCACTTACTGGCTCTAGTAGTTTATTTATTAACTTAATGTTTTTTTTCCAGTACCAGGGATCGAACTCAGGACCTTGCGCTTGCGAGGCAGGCATAGTGCCACTTAGCTAAATTCCCAACCATCTAGTATATTTATTATGGCAGATCCTTTGGAGTTTTCTATGAACGTAGTCATAATTTGTGAGACAAATTTTATCTCCATCTTTCTGCCTTTTATACCTTTCCTCATCTTAGCATACTTGCTAAGATCTCCAGGATAAGACTGAAAAGAAACAGCAAGAACAAACACCCATGTTTGTTTCTAGTCTTGGGGGAAAGCATTTCCTATCTCACCCCTGAGCTGCAAATTTGGAGATACCTTTAACAGGTTGAGGATGTTCTTTCTCTCAGTATGCTGAGAGCTGGTATCATGAATGGACAATGAATTTTGTCAAATGCTTTCTCTGCAACTACTGCCACAATCATATGATTTTCTCCCTTGCTCTGGCAATGTGAATTTCATTCAATCTTGTATGCAATTTCCACAATTATTTTTCTATCCCAATGACGTGACTTTCAGCAAACAAAAAACTAAGAATAACTCAGAGACACTGGCAAAGGGAGATATTGACTTTTTGTTTTGTTTTGTTTTGTTTTTTGAGACAGGGTCTCACTATGTAGCCCAGGCTGGCCTTGGACTTATGGTGATCCTCCTGCCAGCCTCCCCAGTGCTGGGATTACAGGTGTGCACCACCACACCAGTTGTTGTTTTTTTTAATTCAAATTTTAAGTTTGAGTTATCATAGTATAAGACAAAGAACTCTGAACTAGAAGCCAGAAGACTGGAGTGTTAGTTGATTTTGCCATTTGCTTATCTGTGTGATTTTGAGCAAGTTGTTTTACCTTTGATTATCCTTTTCCTTATTTTACAACACAGTTAAAAATACTTCTTTGTGTTTATTTCCCAATTAATGTACATATATCTATGAAATTATAAAGCCCTATGCAAATGTAGAGTAATACATGCATATACATTCTGATACTTTTCAGTTTTGCCAGGTTTAACTAGTATTTTATGTTCTAATTTAACAAAGTATTCAACAATTTAAGACCGTTCAAAGATGAAGACCTAGACTCTGATTTAAAGAATTAAAACTAAACAATTATACAATAAAGAAGTAAGACGACAAAGGTACATATCAAATGATGTTGAAGCCCAGCAAAGATATAACCAACTCAGGGAAAGAGGCAGACATTGGATAGGAAACAGCAACAAGCCATGGAGGAGGAGGCCAAGGGTTAGAGTTGTGCCCAGGCACTAGAGCTTCACGATAGAGCACAAAGAATCACAAAATTTCTTCTTACAACCGGCTCTGCCTTCAATAATTACAGCTCACATTCAGTGCATTTAGACTACTCTCACCCCAAGTCTTTGGACATACAGGATTTTGGCAGGGGTGCAGTTCAGTGATAAAGCAGGAGTCTAGCATGTGCCAGGCCCTGAGTCCAATTCCCAGCATCAAAAATAAAATAAAACAAAAAATAAATAAATTAAATAAAGCAGTTAGACAATATGAATTTATGTTTTTCCAGTTCTAAAGTTGGTTCTGAGTCAAGCTCTGGTCATTGTACCAAGAAGAGTTTCAGAAAATAAGCCCAAATGATTAAAAGGAGTTTTCTCCGCTGAGGATTTAGCTTAATGGTGCTGCTGCCTGCCTTGCAAGAGCAAGGACCCGAGTTCGATCCCCAGTACCAAAAATAAAGTTCTCCCAATAACCTCTTTTTCTTGGAATTGAAAGTCTGAAGGGCTGAGGATTTAGCTCAGTGGTGCCACTGCCTGCCTTGCAAGCACAAGAGCCTGATTTCGATACCCGGTACCAAAAAAAAAAAGAAAAGTCTGAGTATCTCTCCCTAGTAGTATGGGCTCTCACCCTGTGAAGAGTGGAAATTGGAAAAATATCAAGAGACTGAGAAGCAAAGAATGCAGGAGACTAGCAGGAAGTGAAGCCTTTCAGTTCGCAAAGATGTTGCTTAGACTAGTAAGGAAACAGGCAGTAAGTAGGAAGTTACAATGTTTATATTCCTATACCCAAGACAAGACAGGAATAAAACCAAAATGGGTCATTAAACTTTACCCTTCCAAAAAATGAGTTGTCTGGGTTTCTGCCTTGGCAAACCACTTATTTAAAAAAGCTGATTGACTGGGGATGTAAATCAGCACTTGCTTAAAATGATCAAAGCCCCAGGTTTGATCCCCAATACTACAATAACAATGATGACAGCAACAATAATAATATTAAATTTAAAGTCTATTTGTATAGGGGTCAGTTTAAGAATTATAGAGAAAAAAAGTGAAAAAAAGAATTATAGAGAAAAGAATAAAAAACTTAAATATCACTCTGGGGGATTTAGCTCAGTGGTGCTGCCACCTGCCTTGTAAGCACAAGGTCCTGAGTTCGATCCCTGGTACCAAAAAAAAAAAAAAAAAAAAAAAAAAAAAAA